CCAACAACCAATCACATGAATCTCCCGCCCCCGACATACAAAGCAATAGCAATGTTAAAACGAAGTAAACTGGATATAAACTCCCCAAACAGGCGAAAAACCTACCAGTTTCACCCACTGTCTCTGCCACCTCCCTCCATGCCTGGTTTCTCCGGTTTGTATCCCGGTAAATAGTTCTGGTCGTAAAGAACCGGGTGATTTGCTACCGTAATATCTCGTTTGGAATATGAGGAAATGAACTGCGGTCTGGCTCTCCCAGCTTGCACGCGGTTTGATTGGCTAGCGCTTGCACTGGCGGGATTTGCATAAACGGAATCTGATTGGCTGATGCCAAGCATGCCGATAGATGCTTGTGATGCTTGCAAAGCCATGCCATGCTCCCCACAATGCAGTTCGGCGAAGATTAAAAATCTTCTACGTCACCCCATTCAAGTGAATGGGCGAAGCGTTGAAAAGCATTTTTCGATGCCTGTAGTGTAGACGGGCCGTTAGAGATGGAAAATATTCGACTCATCGCTCAACCCACATCTGATGTAACCTTCCTCACATTGAAACATAAAAACTAACACAAATATATATTTTTCCACCTTTTAATCATCTTGTTGAGCCCTGTTGTTTTGCAGAGATATAATGTGTGATCATTACTACTGCTTATCTCCATTGTCCTAAGAAGCACATAATAGAGTATGGATGGAAACAAGCCATTCATTCTCATTGTTGGCTAATATAACAATTTCTCCCCGGGTGAAGGTTCAAGCCCAAGAATATATGAGTTTAACACCCATCACATTTTTTACTTTACAGCAGGACAAGTGGCACCCGCTGCTCACCACTGTGGCCAACGCGCAGAAGTACCGGTGGCTGAAGCACAGCGTCCAGGGCATCTTCTCTCAGTCCAGCCTCATGGCCACCATCGTGGAGTTTGCACTAAAAGAGGAGCCGCTGGACGTGGAGAAGATGAGGAAGTGTCTCCTCAAACAGGTGATTGTAAACCACGGGTTGTTATAAAGTAGACAACATGTTTGATGTATATCATTGAAATGTGTTAACTCTGTTTTGTTGCAGCTGGAGAGGGCGGAGGTGAGGCTGGAGGGCATCGACACCATGCTGAAGTTAGCCTCCAGAGACTTCCTGCTGCCCTCCGTGCAGTACGCCATGTTCTGCGGCTGGCAGAGGGTCATACCAGAGGGGACCAACATCGGGTAATAATACTGCTTTTGACAAATTCCTGGTTTTGGACAGTGTAAAAAAACAGGACGTTTGACAGATATAAATCCGTAGAGAAGGCGGAATAACACCAAGAACAGATCATTGTAATTATTAAGCCATCTAACGTTTCCCTCTCCTCTTCAGAGAGCCGCTGTCTGACTGCCTGAAGGACGTGGATCTGATCCCCCCCTTCAACCGCATGCTTCTGGAGGTCACCTTCGGAAAGCTGTATTCCTGGGCCATCCACAACGTCCGCAACGTCCTGCTGGAGGCCGGCGGCCGCTTCAAAGAGCTCGGTGAGTGGCAGCATCTTCAAGGTAAAAAAAGTGTGTGTGTGTGAGATTGCGTGTGTGTGTGATTGCGTGTGTGTGAGATTGCGTGTGTGTGTGTGATTGCACTACAATAAAGTTGGAAAGGCTTGAATTGAATTAAATGTAAAGCCTTGCCTTTCATCTCATGAAGCTACACTGCTGCTTGTATATTCATCAGATTATTCCCAGCTGTTCTCTAACCTGTTGTTCTCCTGTGTTTGTTCCCAGGAGTGCAGCCTGTCCCCCTGCAGACCATCACCAACGAGAACCCGGCAGGCCCGAGTCTCGGCACCATTCCTCAGGCCCGCTTCCTCCTGGCTATGATCCACATGCTGTCCCTGAAACACGGCTCCAACAGCCTCAGCCTCTTACTCAACTCTGGCCTACTGGCCCTCACACAGAGCATACTCCGGCTCATAGGTGGGTAGAAATATATGATGATGTATTTGTGTAGACCCTGATGCATGTGTGTGATGCCTCTTGTTGTCCTGTCTGCAGGGCCCAGCACAGACAGCAGTGAGGAGGATCTGAGTGTTTGTGCTCACGGAGGATCAGCCACAGTCTTGGAGGAGTCCAGGAAGGAGACGGCCCCGACCCCCCTCCCTGCCTCGGGCCCTGAGCTGGCTGCCATGATGAAGATTGGCACCAGGGTCATGAGGGGGGTGGACTGGAAATGGGGAGATCAGGTAGCTGAATTGGCTTTACATAAAGCTGGGCAGTGTACCAACATTTCGGTGTCTGAAGCTATAAAGTAAACTGACTCAAACACTCAGTGTTTAACCCTCTGCTGTTTTCAGGACGGTCCGGCTCCAGGTCTGGGTCGGGTCATCGGGGAGCTCGGAGAGGACGGCTGGATCCGAGTCCAGTGGGACACGAGCAGCACCAACTCCTACAGGATGGGCAAAGAGGGCAAATACGACCTGAAGCTGGCAGAGCCCCCCCCAGCGGCTCAGCCCCCGACGGAGGACTCGGACACAGAGGACGACACAGGTCAGCTAACATGATCCTCTGTCATCACCGCAGATACAGGCAACAGGGAACATAGTGACATCTCGCTAACCAATCAGAGCAGACTGGGCTCTGGTTTCAGACAGAGGGTGAAAAAGAGTTTTCTCAAAGATATATTTCGGGATGTGTGCTCATTCAAAGTTAGTCTGATGAAGGCCTGAAATACTTCATATACTTGTTTCCCCACAGAATGGGAATACATTATTAGTATTATTAAAAAAACGACATTTCTCTCTACAGAAGTGGAGTTGATTGAGAAGAGCAGCCACCCGACGGCCATGATGCTGAACAGCACGGTGAACCTGCTGAAGACCCTCTCTCTGACGGCTGGGATCCATGCCGAGGTTCTGCAGAACGACGCCACGCGGACCCTCTGTGGGCTGCTCCGTATGCTGGTGGAGAGCGGAGCCAACGACAAGTCAGGTAGCTGAACCAACATGTTCATAAACAGCATTTTTATTTTTGTAATTTGTTCTGAATTTTCCATTCAGAACGAAGACACATTGGCGGTACACTGCATAAACAAATCCCTCTCCCCCGCGGCCCTGCCATTGACATTAAAAGACATGGCATGGAATAAGTAAAATAATAATAATCACAAAATAGAAAATTAGGTCGATCAGCAATGGAAAATTAAAAGTGTGCAATTCTTGGTAAACATTCAAATTAAATAGAGTCTCTGTCGGCCTTCACGTGTGTCCAGAGACGCTCCCAAGGATCGCCAATAAGAGCATTTTTGTCTTTATAAATGACCTGTGTCGCGCCGCACGGTCAATTAGATGTAAAAATGTCTCTCTGCTCTCAGGATGCCACTCCCACAGGCTGGTGTCCCGGGAGCAGCACCGCAGCTGGTCCACGCTGGGCTTCATCCGCAGCATCGCTCTGATGCCCCAGATGTGCAGCACGCTCAGCACCTCCGCATGGATCGGCCTGCTCATCCGCATCGTGGAGGGACACCAGTCCTTCAACGGCGTCACTCTGCAGAGACAGGTGGGAACACTACCACGAGTCAGATGGGCTGCTCCTTTGTTTCTTCAATGTATTCTCCAGATAGATCCTCAGACGTCATTCAGGACGGTAGAAAAGTAGAGTAGCGCCCGGTAATAACATTAGTTAATAGTAGGAAGTGTATATTAACTAACATAACATTTTTGTATTTATTTTAAAACACCATAATGCTTTGTAAAATAGTGAATAATATTATTTAGAAAAATTCTAATTTTTTTTTTTTTTTAATTGAATTCAAATCTTATAATTTGAGCTGTGACTCAGGAAGTAGATAGATGTCTTCCATTCAAATTGTAAAAGCACTTTAAGGGGTCCCAAAGACTGGAAACGTGCTATATATATATTAATATCATTATTATTTTTTCCTTGACTCTATTTTATTTATTATTTATTTTAAATTTTATTGACCTGTGTGAATATTTGCTGTACTGTTTTTTTCACGCTCACCCAGTTGCTGCTTTGTACAACTGAATTTCCCGTCGGGGATTAATAAAGGTTCATCTTATCTTATCTTATATAAACACAGGTAATTTACCATTTACAGCTAAATGATACAGCTGTAGGCTTGGAAGTAAAGGCAAAAAACACAATTATTAGTCAAGTTATTTGTTATTTGCCAAACAGGAAACCACCTTTGT